AACCCCAAAACACAAACCTATTTATTGAGACTAATTCCGAGCAGGAAGGGAAATATTTTGTTAGCTCGGCGGCAAACGGTCGGCGGTGTTAGAGCAGTCCATAGATGAAGAAGATGGTGGGGGGGGGGGGGGAACAGCCGGCCCTTTGTTTGCTGACAGAATGGTGCACTCCGTGGGGTCACTGCAGGAGGCCCAACATCACAGCCACGAGCACACACACATTCTCCTTCCTTCACACACATGCACACACACACACACACATACGTTCGCCTGCACATGCATGCACACTCACACAAAAACCATAACATTCCTCTGCTTCTATGAATGTTTTATTAACCATGTGAATGGGTCACAGAGTTACACCCCCCCCCCAGCATGACTATAGTCTCCATAGCCACACACACACAGAAACACACGCCTGCTCCTTTCTCACACTCACACACACCTACAGACCAGGAGGAGTGGATGACATTGACATGGTGGGATTCCTGGTCTTTCATTACCCCTAAACCTGTGCCTCAGATTTGGTCCCACTGTCCCGATCTGGACAATAACATGAATTCTTTCCGTTTTTGTGTTGGATTTTTTCATCATTATTTTTGTGTTAAAGCTAAAGGAGAGCAATGATAACCACAAGATGAACAGGATTAGTTCACCCAGGCAAAATTTAAAGAAATATTTTAATTCACTGCATTGTCTTTGTTTTTATTTGCCGTTGTTGAGATTTCCAACAGTGTCATGGTGGTTCTGATTGTTTCCCCTAAAGATATCATTCATTACATTTACATGAGGTTTAAAAAAAAATAGATTTATTGGGTAAGTCCGACATGTAAACACAGCCCTATTCAGACTATCCATTCAAGGCGCGATATTTACACCCCAGTGACGTCTCGCCTTCACTGTGAATGTCACAGAGGCGTGATGGGGGACCAAGTCACCTCTGTGCAGCCATCGACGGTAGTAACAGATGCTGGGCTTATAGCTCAGAGCTAAACAGAACACTTTTAAAACGATGCTTTTCTATAGCTTTGGCAGTTATTGCTTGACAGTATCTTAAAAGTCTTAAAACAGCTTTTAATCAGACATTGGTGCTTTCCGCCTAAATCCCTACAATCCTGAGTGACCTCTTGTGTGAAAGAGTGTGACCTGTGGTTTTGTCAACCCATAAAATATTCCTGAGGAACACAGGAAAGTCACTTATAGCAGCTGTAAACATCCTGGAGGATGCACATCATGGGAACATTTGGCTCAAACTACCCCCCTTTCCTTTTTATGAGCAAAAAAAAACCCTTACCAGTTAGTCCGTCCCCCCCGATATATGAACAGAACTGCTCTTTTTTTTTTTTTTTAACAAAGCATGACGAAATCACCCACCAGTGGACGACTGGCCAATAGTTGACCCATGCTGAATCTCCTGTGCCCACACATAAACATTTATCAGACCTCCACTGCTGAGCTCTGGATCCAGAAAGTCTGACCCGATGCAATGTGAAGGTGTGAAACCAGGAGCATTTCCAGAACCAACCGCCAGTCTTTAAACCACACGCAGACACACAAACGCTGGCATGTGAAACCCTCACGCTCCTACATACCCCCACAGAGAGCAGAACACAAGTCCTGTTTGGTTTGGATAGCCCTACCAGGGGACCTCCATGTTGAACAAACTAACACACACAGCTCTGAGTGCTCAAATACAACAGGTCCTCACAGTGCAGGCTGCTGCACAGATCAACGGGCAGTAGATGGTCACATCTTATTTCATGTCAGATTTTGATTATGAGCAATCATTCAAATCCTGCAGTGACACATAATATATGACAACTTATATTATTGCATTAATCTGATCATTTCTGTTTCTTATCTCTTATAGCTCAATGGTGTCTGCAGTTTCAGTCACTGAATCAAGAAAGATTACAGCTGTGATATCACACACCTAGTTTTGCATTATTTAAAAGTTAACATTATTAAAGGGTGAGACATGTCATTTATGAATTAACAGAAAAAGTAGCTATAGGGACCAAACCCTGCTTTTTGTACCAGACTGTAAACAGGTTGTAGAAGTTGTTTTGTAAAGTTGGGAGTAAGCTCTTTTCAGACATGAACTCCTGAAAAATTCTAGAAGATTTTGGTGCAGCCAGTCCAGTATAGCAAGACATGATTTAAAAAAAATATGCTGCATTAATCCAAGATGTTCTGACAAAGGCACAGTGTCTGACACCAGAATGACAGATTTGCCTACATGTCAATGCTGCACGTTACTGACTGTATTCACACAGTTTAAACAAAAGAGAATATACTGGCAGGCAGAAGAGAGTATGAAGCTATTTCACCATGTGGCGGCAGTAGCTCAGTCTGTAGGGAAATTGGTCTGGTAACTGGAGAGGTGCCAGTCCACTTCCTGAGCACTGCCGAGGTGCCCTTGAGCAAGGCAGCGAACCCCAAAACTGCTCTGGAGCGCTCGCTGTGGGCAAGCCCCCTCACTCTGAGACCTCTCCATTAATGCATGTCCATAGGATCCTATTTGTGCATGTTAGTGTAGTCCGGCCTGTGTTTGTGTAGCATGTTCATTAAACAGAGTGTAAAACTGAATTTCCCCGTCGCGGGATTAATAAAGGATTATGTGTGCGAAGACTACACCACTAGTGCACAATCAGTGTGATATAAACATCAATCCCGCAAACTCCCTTGCTATATATTTTCCTGAATATTACCCGCTGCTTTCACACATTGGCTCAGCCCAAGTTCACATGGAAATTGTACAATAGGTAAAGTTAGAGTGAAATATTTGGGATTATAAATTTCGGGAATTTATCAGGGGTCTTTTTGCATGTGTGAAAACAGCTATTTTAACATGAGACTCTATAGGAATTCACTCACTTTTGGATCCAGCCTCAAGTGGCCACTCCAGGCACGTTGATGCCGGCTACTTTTTCCATCACCAGAGATCGCTGTTTTTGTTTCAGTTGCCCTTCAAAATTTGGGACCACATTGCTGCTTGTTCAAACTTGGCCCTAAAGTGTCTGTTTGGCCTCTGATGTTGCTGCATTTATCAAAATCTAAATGTGTGGGGTTCTGCTCTCAGTGAGAGCTTGACTACTTCCACATGTGGCTTTGAAGATCCTGTAGCAGCAAAATCTAATTTTTGTGCGCTTTGACCTGTCACTTAATACACCCATGCTTCAGACGGAAACATTAAAGTCGAACTGAAATGACACGTGTAACCGTAGCCTTGGATTATACGCCTGGTTGTGATCTCTTGAGAAACATTCACAAGCGGTTTCTCTGTCCTGCTGCTTTTTTAAATATCTTATTAGATCTAGTCACAGTGATGCTGCTGTCCTCACAGTGGAGATGGAGGGAGCAGCATTATTGTAGATAATGCCCAACATTAATCTCACGCTGCCCTACATATTCAGGGTTGGAGGTCAAACCCATTTCACGTTGTCATCCTCACGCTTGAACTTGTAAGACTATTTATTATGACCCTAATGCCCTGGTTTCAGATATCACTTTCCCCCACTCTCAGCTCAAACATATGTGCTTAAATTTGAGGAATTTCAGTTTAAACTCCTGCATTCTGTGGATAGATAATAACTAATGCCACTCGTCTGGGTGAAATGCAGAACCCTCCTTGTTTATTTCCCATGTGCTGCTCCCTCAGAGAACGGTAATGAAATAATCCCATGCTGTCATAATGACAAGGGGTTTTTAATCACAGGGAACGACAGCTCACTCTTGGGCAATTTTTTATTTGTTTTTCAAATGTTATTACTTCTAAAGGAACAACAGTATATATTTCAATATCTGTCTGCATAGCTAGGAGTTTGGTTTAAGATTGGTCAATCTTAAATGCCATTCCAAACTCTCACCAGATTTCAAACTGTGTTTTTCAAAGATGACGCTTTTGTATTAGTATTCAAAACAAATGACCACAACAATTAATCATATTTTGTTTTTCAACTAAGACACTGGATGGGAAATGAAGCCAACTCCTTTATAAAGCATCTCCGCTCTCTTTCACAAAAACACACTCACACACACACACACACACACTTTCAAACGCATCTCCAGAAAAGTTCAGATTTAAGACCTGTCGCTGCCATGGAACATAGTGAAAAGGAGTATCCTGTGGGGCCCTTGGGGGCCAGAAAGGTACTATGCTGCTCTGCTCGTGCATGCAAGTGTGTGTGTGTGTAGCGGCAAAGAGTGACCCGAGAGGCCCAGCTAGTTACAACCTCTCTGCTGGAGACCACCACTTCCACAAAACAAGCATTGTTGGTACAGAGCTCCAGACACCAGAGAAACACACTGGAAACAACTCCTTTGCACACAAGCACCAAAATACACACTCACAGCAGAGACAAAAAATGTGCTGGGTTTAACCATCAATCCCATAATAGATCATGTTCTCAGTTTTTTGTGTATAAAATCATATTTAAGTCCCATCTCGTAGCTACACCTCACCCTTCCAAATCGACAGAAACACACACACACACACACACACACACACACACACACACCCTCTGTGCAAACGTGGATCACTGTCGCTAACAATAGCCCTTGGGTGGTTGGTCAGACTATTATTGTAAGTGTTTCTATGCTAATTATGTGTGACTGAGAGCATGTCAGAAGTAGTTACTGGAAATAATGTGGTGAGCTGGAAATTGTGAGGTGGTTACTTCAAAAGAAGAAAAAAATAAAACTTTATTGAGTTTCAACAGAGGCTTTGTCTGACCAGTGCTGAACAAATGAGAACAGCTCTAAAAACACCGCGCCAAAGCCACTGGATCATTTATTGTAACTCTAAAACAACATAAGGAAGACATCATCGCCATCAAAATCATCATCATCATCAAAGAGGGAAGGAGGGGTCAGCATCATGACCTCTACTTCTGGCTTTGCGCTCTGCAGACACCTCGTTGGCTGACAGGAGTATACGTCAGAACCTCTCACCGCTCCAGTATAACCCCCCCTCAAGCCTCGTGCGGTCATACACAGACGCATGAGTAAAAGTAGAGGCTCCAACTGTTGCCCGGACTAACCCACGTTCAGCATCCACGTCCCACACGGAGGAGTGAGACAGAGCGGAACGAGGAGCGCGGAGAGCTGGAACATTTACGCACAGCCTGTATAGTTTGGATTAGTTTGGCTCGTCTTTTAAAAAGTGCACTCTGGATAGTTTTGGACACATTTTTTTTTCTGCACTGTTCATATCTTGGATTTCGTATACAGCTGAGCAATTTAATGGCAGCTCTAAGTTTCATTTCCTCGCACTTGTTCCTGTTGATGTTCAGCTGTTTCCTGGGTGCTGCGTCAGTCAGGACCATGAAAGGGGGCACAGGGAGCGCACAGGACAGTGGCACCCTCCACTCCTCGCCGTTTTTGGATGACCTGGATGAGGACATGGTCTCCCAGCACATGTTCAGACTGTATGAGAAGTGCAACAGGGAAAACCGTCTCAAAGAGGGAAACACTGTCAGGAGTTTCAGAGCCAGCCAAGGTGTGTGCATACATTGATTAACCTGTATTACGTAATCGACAGGTATCCTTCCGGCAAAAGCGTTCAATTGAAACAATTTGGAATTTATTTTGCATCAAGTAACCTTGTATTTTGTTAATGCACAAGTAATCGAATGAAAAAAAAAGCATAGCCTAAATGTCAGCCAGGCTCCCCTCTGATCCTTTCCATGAATGGTTATTAAATGTGCACGAGCTCAGTGGATGCATGGCTCGAGCAGAAGCTCTAAATAGGTACGATTGTTTTGGAACAGTCTGAGAATGCGTTTTAATGATTTTTGGACGCTAGTGGGCTTACTGTGTTTTGTGGAAGCAGCTGCGCCCCATCTGATCAATTACCACAGACACACGCGCAATATGCGCAAGAATGCATGCGATTTTCTGCCAGCCGTGACCCCGCGTCCATAACCTACAGTAAAACCTCAGCGCGCTGCAAAAGGGTCATTGTCGTGGCTCCTGTGTTCCTGTTGTGGCTACAGGACATGTGCGGCTCCGCGTCCTGGAGTCGAGGGGGCTTAACGCACAGTCGTTCCTCTCTGTCTGATGCTGTTTATAAAAACACAACTCAGACACATTTTTATCCCACATAGTTCTCAGATGGCATAGCATAACACGTGTGTATTTTTACTGCAGAGGCTGCGTGTAATCTAAGGAGAGATGTGAGAGAGTTTTCACAACAATCTAAGATCTGTTAAAACAGTTGATTATGTCTTGGTGTCTGGGCAGACAGTGCTGGCTGTATTGGGCTTAAGGCGAAAGCTTTAAAGGGGACTGAGGTAAGCATTTCCATATGCAGGCTGAATCCGAGGTAATGTATATCTCTTGAGTCAGTCCATGCTTCCGCTGAACTCTTACACAATGAACAATAACTCTGCTGTTGAAGTTAATGTTCATCATGAATATGTAGCTCTCCGTTCAACCCCCCCCTCTACCCCTGCCAGCCTGATCCTCACAGTCTGGCTCCTCTTAAGTGCACCTTCTCCGAGCCATGTAGCTGTGGACCAGCCACTCAGCTCGGTCACACAGAACAAGAAAATGTTTTGAAGATTTATACTGCAGCAGGAATGCTTTTGGTATGATTTGAGCGCTTTCCCCCCTAATCCTTTTCCTTCCTTTCTTTCATACAGGACTTTATTATCATATTGTTACCCTTAAAGGTATTATTTCTCCTAAAAATTTGAAGAAATACCAGTCAAATCTCAAATATGTCAATCTAAATAAGTTTCATTGCTCATTTCAGTGCTTGCATTTGCAAACGCTTTAATCATCTGATCATGCCAAACATTCCAGAAAATAACAAAATAACAATGGCCTTAAATAGATTTTGATTGATCGTTTCTTTTCAAAACAAGTACAGAGTAGCACCAGTGAGTTAGAAAAAGGATCAGATTTTCTGAGGTAAAATGATCGGAAATCACAGATTAGTAAATCAAAAAGATATGCTGCCATCACAAACGTTGTTTTGTGGATAACAACGAAGTTTACTGTCAGGTTGTTCACTCACTTGACACCGATTGATTGATTGATTGATGTTTGATCGTCCTCAAAATCGTCTGACCTCTAGACAGTACACCAACTCAACCTCACCATCAAGCTTGTTGGAGATTTTGGAAAATGTCACTTTTTAAGTTAGCTTTTGGTGCAGTTTGAGTCCTTTTTTTGTAAAGCATTGTCCTGTTTTCTAGTCATACACGACTTAATTATCAAACTGATCCCTCTTAGTCACTCATTCAATTATATTATTCCAGATATTCCAGTACACATATCTAAAACATTTCAATCTAAATAGGGGGTTTAATTCCTTCTTTCCGGTGCCCTCATTGGCAAACACTTTCATCAAATCATGCCAAAGATTTCAGCCAATCAGCTCAATGAACATTGGAATGTATAAAATAAATTGTGGCTCATTATTTCTTTTCAACACAAGAAAAACGAAGCACCGGATAGCAATAAAACTGCCAATCTTTTCTGTGTCACGTCATCCTTTTGTTGAGAATAAATTGCAAATTGTGCAGGATAAATTTGGTTTCCACAACCTTTAATCTGTGGATTAGGGTCTCGTTGTCAGGTTGCTTTTTTTGAGTTGTCGTTACTACATGATTGATTGATTGATTGATTGATTGTCTTTTCAGACTCCTCTGACCACAGGACGGTGTACAGACTCAACCTCACAACAATCCAGGACTCGGAGGTCATCCTCTCTGCCACATTCCACTTCCTGCTCGATCGTCGTCCCCATTACAAACCTTGGTTCTGTAAACGCTTCAAAAGCCCATCCTGTCGATCCTCAGCAGTGCACCCTCCTCCGTCCATCAGCCTGCTCCTTCGTTCTGTCTCCTCAGGGTCAGAGATCAGAGCTGGGTCAATGGGGTCATTTCTAGGCAACATGACCTTCCACCCCCACAGGAGAGGGGCGTGGCAGATGAAAGACGTGACCCAGGTCATAAAGGAGGCACGGGACAAGGGTCATCTCCTGTTGTCAGTGGAGGTGGACTTAGGGCAGCAGTACCACATGAAACCAGAGGAGGCACTGTCTGATGGAGGCCTGCCTTACCTGCTGCTTTTTGCTCATGACCAAGCCTTGGCTGAACCCAACAGTGTGGCAGGGAGCCTTCAGAGATACGACCCGTTTAACGAGGAAGGGGAGCCCACACATTCTTCACAGCTCCAGCAGAAACCAGACTCGGCACCCGAGTTGAAAGGACGCGTGAGAAGGGAAGCACCTCTGCTCTCTGACACCATTCAGAACAATGAGCTGCCAGAGGTTGACTTCAGGCCTGAGGGTTACAGGAAGGATGACCTATGGGAGAGCACTTGGTACCTGGCACTCAAACCCAAGCATAAATTAGGAAAGAAAAGAAAGAGCCAAGAGGTAGGACAGGGGAAAGGTAAAGGAGCACAGGACCAAAAAGAAGAGGTTCACAAAGCAGTAGAAAAAACATCACAGGAGCTGAATCTAGAGGCCTCAAATGTGAAAAAACTCACAGGCAGTCATACCCAGACTGTCAGCAACGGACAAAAGCATGAGCGGAGAAATGAAGGAAAAAACAGCAAAAAGCACAAGGGGAGCGCTAGCTCTCAGTCACCAGTTCTGAGCTTTGATGAACAAACGATGCGAAAGGCGAGGAGGAGGCAGTGGGGCGACAACCAGCAGAGAGGTTGCTCCAGGAGGAACCTCAGGGTGGATTTTGCAGACATTGGATGGAGCGAGTGGGTGATAGCACCCAAGGCTTTCGATGCCTACTACTGTTCTGGAACGTGTGGGTTCCCAATGCCTAAGGTAGGAGCACAACAATCTCTACTAAAAACATGTTCAAATACCATTTGCAATTCTCAATAATGATTAAATCACCGATTTTTTTTATATTTTGCTGATACCGAGTACGGAAACTGATAGCTGTTCATTAAAAAGTGTGTACATCTTGTTGTTTAAAGCATAGACTGTATAAATATATGGACGACATGAAAGGTCGCCACAAGTAAAGCCAAAAGATTTAGAGCTCCCTCTGCTGACTGGCTTCGGTACAGGTCAAAAACGCCGCCTCCTCCATGTTAACAGATGGAAAAAGGTCAAACACACGGCACATTAGATTAGATTCAACTTTATTGTCATTGTGCAGAGTACAAGTACAGAGACAACGAAATGTTTTTGGCGTTCTAACCAAAAAAAGTGCAAAAGAGCAACAAGGTGCAGTACAAACATGAATAGGCATAAAGTGCAATATGGTAGTAAGGTAATACGGTAAGCTGGTGCAGAGGATACAGATAAGACTGGTATATTATAGAGCAGCATTGATGGATATAAGATAGTTGCAGTACGAACAATATTTTCAGTATGGACATTATAAACAATATGCTAATAAATATCATCAATACATCTTTCTCAAAACATGGCTTCTGTCGTTAGTTCCTATCATGCCAATTTTTACTTCCAAGTGTTCGTTATTGTGAGGGATTTAGTTTAAATTAGTAATTTGATGTTAAAAAAAGGGGTAAAAGTCCATGAATGACAATCAGTCAGAATCAGAGGAAACAAAACAAACACTAACACAAGAGTCATTGAACTCTACATAACCGTGAGCGTCTGCATCAGACCAACACAATAGTCTGTTCTGCTGTGGACTGTACCGACCTGAGGGATCTTTGACTTTTTTTTATCCGATATTTAAATGTGTTTTGGTTTGCGAAAGAGGGCATCAAAATGGGAATAGGTGGAGACACATTGTCCATATGAATATACGGTCAGTGGTGGAAACACTGATTCCTAGCAGCTTGCCTTATAATCCCCTCTTCCCTAGCATCATACTTTTGATATTTGTAATCGTACCATCAAAATCAAAAATGGTTAATATTCAGAGGTTGACTAAACTATGGTATAGGATTAGTTAAATAAATACCAGAGGCTGCATGTTTTATAGGTAGATGTAATATAATCCCAAACTGGAAACCATTGGAAGATTTTAGGTTATATAACTTTTGCATACATCATCCTTTTTCATTACTATATTGAATATGATTTCATCTTGTTCTATTGCCTTTCATTAATTTCCCCCTACTCTTCTACCCCCCCACAAGGTGGCAAAGCCGTCTAACCACGCCACCATCCAGAGCATAGTCCGGGCCGTTGGGATTATCCCCGGTGTTCCCGAGCCCTGCTGTGTCCCAGAAAAGATGAGTCCTCTTGCTGTCCTCTACCAGGATGAATCCAGGAACCCAGTGCTCAAGATTTACCCCAACATGTCCGTCCAGTCCTGCTCCTGCCGATAGGAGGGTGAGGGCGACTGAGGTAGAGGAGGAAAAAATAAACTGGGTGGATGTGCAGAAAAAAAACAGAAAACTAATGGAGTCAGAACCATACCTCTGTTTGTTAAGTGGTTTCTCGACACTGAGAAACAAGCTCACTTTGGCCGTCGGTATCCTGGAAGAACTCAGGCTATAGAGAAATCACTTCCATCTCTTCTGTCCCGCGGCGGCAGACATGAAGAGACACTTTGTCTGGCGTCTGTTTTAGCAAGAGGAACAAGAGTCTCACATGTAAAGTCAGGGCTCCACATGTCCCAGAAGCCCCGTTGTTTTGATTCTGTGTTTGAGATAATATTGAGGATTTCATGGTCAGCTGCGTTTACGGGATGTGTTCCTTTTATCTCAGAATGTGCTTGTTGTCCGGACAGCTCTCAGTGAGTTTAAGTTCATTTTAGACACAGAAGCTATAAATAAAAGACTTTATCATTGCGTCGTCAGGCAGCTTACACACGACAGAGATTATGACAGATTTCTACATTCTGACATGTTGTGTGCAGCTGTTTTCACTTGGAAGCAAATCATACGCCACATTATACATACTTGCAATGTTAATCTGTTCGCAGACAGGAAGGTTATTGTACATTATTGCTTTTTATATCTTAGAAAGGAAACATCCAATGAATTCAAGAGAGGCATCTGGAATTCATTTCATAACACTTCAAGAATGTTTTATTAAAACCAGAAATATTTTTCTATTTTTGAATGTGAAACATGGTTAAAAAAGAATTTGTCATGGTTACTCTGTTTATGTATTACTTTATGTTAGAAGAGATGTGGTTTTGTACATGTGTATTGTTTAAATTATGAAAAGGTAGCCGTCTTTATGTCCGAATAAAAAAGTAATTTAATCACACGCACTTGCTGGGATGTTATTGTGTTTTACAGCTTGTGATATTCTTGCTTATTGTTGGATTCTTGGTGGAAATCTTGGAAGCAGAAAGGGCACTTCTGTTTTAAAATAGCTCAGTACAAGCGCAGGAAGGTTCCACTCTGAGATAACCAACATTCCCCCAAAGCCTCTTGAACCCATTATTACCCCCGCACCAAAGGCTTAGTCGTCTGTTGTTCAGCAAATAATGTGACTGATGCCTTGGGTTAATGGTTGATGGAGGAAGCAGGCACGCACCTATTAGGACGTCAGCCACTTGAACTTCAAAACATGCTGCACTTCCCCCTTTCTAAGCAGGGCGCTCTGAAGGGCAGGAAGTTTTCCTCAAAAGCCTTCTTCTTCTTTTTAAACAGATGGTTACAGCCTGATGATCTCAGCCACTTAAACGTAACTGTTGTCACTTTTATCCACAGCAGGCAGCGAGTGACCCATGTGGTGCCTAAACAGCGTGTCAAGCTGATAGAGAAATGACAGAGGAACCCTTTTGATTATTAATCCGTCACTCTGCGGTTGTGTTCCTTGAAAAAGTTGGCACGGAGCGCCACATCTGTTTGCAACAACAGAATGTTTTTAAGTTTGCCAAGACTGGACTGGACAGTCATTTTTGTCTGACAGACAGGAGCATTTAAGCCCCGTTTCCACCAGTGGTCCAGTTTGGTTCAGCACAGTTTGGTACGTTTTGGACATAGTGTAGACCGCTAATTCATTCAACAAAGAAGAAGACAACACAGTAAACAAAGATCAATGAGTCTAAGGATGGTGTGCATCTCAGAGGTCATCCACAGGGCAGCGCCACCCACTGACAATAATAGTGAAAAAAAACAAAAGAGCCTGGAAATAACTGTCTCCAAATCCACAGGATATTTAAACATGAAGCGTTTTGTGTGCTTTTCCTCTACTACCAAAAGGGATTCTTTCGACCAATCAACGGACTGCAGTGGGTCTCATGCCAGCCTTTTAGGTCACATTGGTACGCTTGGCATCCCAACAGAAGAGTACCAAAACAGTAGGATGGTACAGATTAGTTATTTTGGTACCATTACCGACTTTTGACGCCAAAAAAATGTTTACCGTGCCGGACCGCTTGGTAGAAACAGGATTTTGGTGACTACAGGGAGGCTATAGGACAATAAAACCCTCATCTTTAGAAGTAATATTTGTCCAAGAAGTCCATTTAGCTGCAACAAATTATATGCTCAAAAGATAAATTGATGGGGTTCATAAAGTCAGTGCAGATTTCTGAACATGTTGCATTGTTGTAGACAGCTCTAAAACAAAATGTACCAACCCTCCTGTCTGCACTGTTTTGCATTTGATGAACACAGATTTAAAGTTTAAGCACTTTTTCGGAGGTCATTGAGTTTTGTTGATGTAGCAGTGGATCACATGGGTTATAATGTGGCTTTTTTGCAAAGTAAAAAGAAATGACTTGACAACATTTAGACCTTCAAGATGGGGTTGTATTTTTGCAGCAGACACGTTTCCCTTTGACAATAAAGGGAATGAATACTTTATTGTTTATTTTTGTACTTTGGACTTACAAATATCTGAGATCAGGATTTATGGATTGGAGGATGCTTTTCTGAAAAAATGTGAGTAGCCACATGATTCAATGTTTGAAGAAACCACATGAAAACCTTCTAAGACGGTATACAAATGCAATACGTACAAGATATGAAAGGAAATCTTATCTTTTCAGCTTGGTAAAATACAAGTTGGAATAAACCTTGTTTTAACATTTCTAATTTTAACAGTTGAATTGAGAGTTGTTTCTGCCCACCGCTCTGCCATGGGAAGAAGAGACGATAAGCAATAATAAAACCCTAAAAAGATTATCTTTAATCCATAAAGATGGATGGTAAAGAGCAACAGATGACAGTGGAGAGAAATGTCTGAAATACCACACACATGATTCAGCTTTTCACCATTTAGATCTAAATGTTCAGCTAAAACAAACCTTCTCACAAAGCCCTCTTTATGGGCTCTAACCTGCATTTAAATGATTTTGATGACTGTAATGAGGGTTATTACAAATCGTGTTTGCATTCATAAATGGTTTACCTTCAAGTCCACTGGCTCGATAGTAATGATCACCATCCAGGTTCATTATTTTCCTCATTTCCTGACTGATCCCTTTTTTTCAGTCTGCACCCACAGTCTGCTTTCACAGAGTGAACCCACGTCAACCGCAATCACAGTCACAGGAGAGCACTTACAATGACCCACTCCAGCCCAGAAAACCACCGCAGTCCAGGCTCGTGTTCAGAGCCCGGTGAGTCTAAGAGCCAAAACCAAACGAGCCAAGAGGGGAACCAAGAACAACATTTGTTTTTCCACAAGATGACTGTTTAATTAAAGGGGAGCAGTATAGCCATTATTAGACGACAGAGGAGTTTCTGTGTCTGGGATTAAATGGCTTTTTCCTCACATGCTCAGAGGACTAATAGATCTTTTCATAATGATGAGGCTTTAATACTCGGACATTGTGCTACTTAATCACCTATTTATTCATTTGGACCACTGGGTTCTTTATTTTAAAATCTAAAATCACCAGTTTCCAAATAAATCGTAGAACTCTTTAGCTTAAAATTGCATTTTAACCAGGAACCTAAAAAGAGAACGTAAAATAAAGTTTGTTTAAAACTGAGAGGTGTAATTTCTCTCTTATGTTGTGGGTGTTTCATGTGCAGGTTTCATGTCGAACGTAGGATTCAATCCCAGAAATAAACACATTTATCTCTACAGATCAGAAAGACATCAATTATTAGTTTTATGGTTACATTTCCATACATTTTTAAATTAACTCTCTTAAGACACCCTCTGATGGTCAAAACTATTTGTACTGCAAAAGTCTGGGAGCAGAAACTCTATTAAGCCCTTTTCACACATGCACATAAAACTTCTGCATGTTTGAATGCAAAAAGATTAATTTGTCTCCCTCACTTTATCCAAAATCTTTCCTGCCAGCCCCCTAGTAAAATTTCTGCAAGAAGCCGGGGTTAGAACGCAGCAGAAAATATTCAAGATAAGTCACTGTGGGCGAGCAGGAGGGGTTGATGATGTTTACATCCTGCTATCAGTGTGATCTTTATAACTGCTTCATTATGTTTTCTGCTTGCCAGTATTTCCTCCGAAGCTGCAGCACTGACAGGTCGATGCAATGTAAGTTGCCCCTCCGCCATCTTGGCACATCTTTTTAATGTCATATTATGCTTTCTTAGACCCCCTCCCTCCTTCTTTCCAACACTCTGATGTGCCATACATTTGTTAATTATCAACTCGTAAAGATTTCAGGGGCAGGCTGGCTTACATTTTCTACAAAACAGTGCATATGAGAAAACGGCTCGACTGAAATAAAAGCAGAACTCAGCAGCCTGCTAGTTCACATTCCTGCTAATGTTACAGACGGACTGAACACGGTCAAGCCTCGACTTTCCCATGAACTCCAGGCCTCCTTCCCGCCTCATTTACCTGCAACAGAGACGGCTATTTATGTCCGTCTGTCTGCAGCCTGACATGAATGGGACGTAGGCTGTCCCACTACTGGAGAAAAAACATCACAAAGCCAAAGCGGTACGTGGACAGTATCGAGGAAGTCCATGAACGATAACCATGAAACTTCTTTATCTCCAATATGTTTTTGAGTGGCAGTTTGGAAATCAGCCTCTGATTGTTTTTAACATTTTCTTTATTTCACCTTGAATGCTAAACTGTTGGGCTAGGTATCTCAGATGACATAGATCTATTAAAAACAACTTTTATTTTCTCTGACTATGTCAAGTGTGTTAGGTGGTCTAAGCAGCTGCAGCTGGTTTAACACGGACAAAAAGAGGAGATCACATCGCCCCAATTCTTGCCTTCTTACAGACGATTGATTTTAAAAATACTGCTGACTGTGTTCAAGGTGATATAATGGACTTGTCCCCGCTTACCTTTCAGAACCCCTGTCCCCATATGATCAGGTAAGAGATCAAAGGTCATTTGAACAAAACCTTCTGTCCATGCCCAGATCCAGAACAAGGTGTTATGCGAATCAGGATTTTTGCCAAATGTATGGAACTCCTTATTTCCAAACATCCGTCTCTCACCCACTATTGTATTTTTAAGACTCACCTCAAAACAAATTTCTACTCAATTGCATTCAGTTTTCAATTACCCATCAAGCACAAAGAACCACAGTTCTCTACGTTTTGTGTTACAGTGTACATAAGTGTTACCTGTTCTTTTATTTTTATTGTTGTGGTTGTTGTTCTTGTCCGTTGCTTTCTAATGCTAGAGTAGCAAAAGCACACAACAAACAGAAATAGGTTTAACTTACCTCATTTGTGTGTGGCATCATGGTTTGTCTTGGTGTGGACTATCACAGTGACCCAGCCTAAGTTTGATTGCCAGAAAATGATCCCATTGTCATTAGAACACAAGCTTGGTTGTATCATGATGAATAATTCATCTGATCTTGATTAAAGAATTAAAATTAACTCGTTATGACAGAAAAATGTAGTTAATAAAATTTATGGATGCATGTTTGCTTAGGCCTTCCGTAAATTGGTGATCAGAATTAGAACAACAAGCTTATTCTGTTGGTTCATGCCCAATCTTTAAAATTAATAAAGACCACTGGCATGTTAAAATACAATCTGCTCTAAAAACTAATGATACGCTCTTACTACATAATGGAAAATGGAGAGGTTGGTCTCAGTCACCGCCTACTAAACCAGAAAGAAACTGACACCCTCTTTGATTTGAAAGAAGACACAAGACTCATCCGTTTCATTTTCATATTTTTAAGAGTTCAAAGCCAAAGTGCAAACACACTCAATCCATGTCTCTTGTACAAATCAGAGCAGAGAAAAGCAGATAAATAAGAGGATTGACATTTCTGACAATCATAAGCTGTCCTCGAGACCTCTCCGTCTTTGTTCCCCTCCTGAGTTCCATAAGGCACAAAATAATCATCAAGCTAACAAACAGGCCTAAAAGGACAGCCAACCAACTGCAGTGAGATCAGTCCAACACGTATCTCTATCGCCATCTAGTGGACAGGCTGTGAAGGTTACGTGTGTCTGTTTTCGTGTTTTCTTAACAGCTAACTACATTCACTGTTACGCACCAAAGCCTCGCTGTGAATCTGGAGTCTAAACCTGTTTATATACGAGCATCGTGTGGGAATAAATAAGTGTTCTGTCCTTTTGCATCTCAGTTATGAGAGGTCATGTGTCTGGAGAGGTGGTGCCGCTCCCTGAAGTACTCATGGCAGATCGGACAGGTGAGTTTCTCCTCCCTCCTTCGCCTCACCTGGGACTCCGCTGCGAACTCCTTCTTGTGATGAGAACGCATGTGGAAGACGAGGTCTGATGTCATGCGGAAAGAGAGGTTGCATTTGGCGCACCAGTTCTGCACAGAGACACCGTATGAGGTGTAAGTCGGAGGCAGGATCGTGAGAGACGAAGTGGTCTGCAACTGGACGCCAATGCTCCGGGGCCAGTGTTCCGGTGCGTAATGGAAAGAGTTGTTTAACGCCACCGGGGATGGCACAGTCTGTAAGTCAGCGCTCAGGATGTTTGATGCCATCAGATTGTTGTATCCCATAACTGTCCTGGAAGGAAATGCGTCAGTCATCTCCTCTAGGCGGCTAGAGGGGGCTGTTGGAACGCTGCTGACGCACGCCTGGGGCTGCACAGGAGAAGTTTTTTTACTCGGTTTGCAAAATGCGCTTTTCTGGTCGCCCTGGCTGGAAATAACCCGAGAAAATGCGCTGCTGCTGCTGCTTGAGCGCAAACTGGAGCTCTCTCCTGTCTCCTCCCGCGCGCCAATCTCTCCCTCGTGCGTAAAAGTCCCTTTGGCGTCCCCTATTTCCACATCTTTACATCCCACGTGACCCTGTTTGGTTTTCTCGGCTTTCCCAGCAGAGGACGATGCATCTCCTAGTGCCTGCTCGTAGCCTTTGCTCATTGGTGTGATATTGTCGTCGTTTGAAATGTTTGTCTTCTCCAACAGAACCGCTTTCCGGCTTTTGGGGTAAAGAGTGTCCTCATATTTCCTTCTTTTGGGGAAAATCTCTGCGTCCTCGTTGCTGCTGCTGGATTTCTTGTGTTCCAAGTCTCTGGCGATGTTGTGGAAGTCTGTCACTCGATGTTGCCTCTTAATTTCCAAGCGCTTGTGCTCGTAAACCTCGCGGCCCCAGGTGTCACTCTTGACTTGAGTGCACAGGAATCGGCAGTGAGCCAGGAAAGGATACTCATGCTTGAAGACCTGGCTACATCTTCCACATTTGAACTCTGAAAGAGACAAAAAATAACAAATGTGAGTACTGATACATCCAAATATGAGATGCGAATATGGATTTCAGAGAGTTCTGAGTTGTTTGCTCACAGAAGTCAAATCACAAATGTTTATTCTGCAATGGAACACTCAATCTGCTGTTTTAATTTTGTATTAAGAATATGCTCAAAAAGCTGTACGCTGGCTTTTTTTTTACAGCAGGATCTTGACCCACATTACATCCCAGTTCTCTCCCTCACCTTCACTTGAGCCTCTGGTCATGTCCGTGAAGCCCAGCAGGTGAGACAGCTCTTGGTCGTACCACACCAGCAGCTCCTCTTCCTGCCTGATGTCCCGGATGGTCCTCACGTACAGCTGACCCGCTTTCAGGAAGGCCTCCATGTTCTGCTCCTCTCCGTTACGCGCAGCCTGCACGAGCCTCAACCAGGACAGGACAAGAGCGGAATTACGCATGGCCTCGGGGTCCACCTGTTGGCAAGAACCATTGACAGTTTTTAAACCAGTTTTCCGGATTATTACATTTTAATTACCAACATTGCCAACAAATCCAACTGTGTCATCTCTGCAAGAAATAAAAATATCAAAAGGGAAAATTGTTGATCTTGCAATACATCTTGTGGTACTTTAAATCATTTAAACCACGTATTCCAATGCAATTCAATTTGGTATAAGCAGCTTTCCAAATAAACAAAACCAATGCGCAAAATAAAGTCACATAAAACAAAGAACAAGCTGCATCAACAACAAGGAACCCAGATTCCAAAACACTATCTAATCACCTTATTCTTAATTTTTTATCATAGCCTACAAGGAAAGCCAAGCTGCTTTTTTACGTTCAAGTATTAATGTTGCATCCTAACAGCCGAGCACAGGCAGACCCACTCACCCTGAACACGTAAGACTTGGCTCTCTTGTCGCAGGATTTTTGCGCTATGAAGGCGATAGTGTCGTAGAAAGTGTTTTGGAGCACACAGGGACCAAAGCACGTGCCTGCAGGGATGCTGCGCGTAACGACCACACTGGTGTAGAGATCCGCTGGATGCTGCAGGAATTTACTGTCAGCGGTCCAGATGGAGCGAGGCAGGAAAGTGTAATCCATCGTTAAACTGTGGAGAAACATGAAATAGATTAAAGAGCTGACAGGTCATTTAGGTTGAATATGTAAAGGCAGTTATTCTTATTTTCAGCAGAATGATGTTAAAATCAAGAGGCCTTAATGCCTTAAAGACCTGGACGTTATAACAAACATTTATCATTTGTTTCGACAAAATTCATTTAGAGAAAACATTAGACCATTTTTAAGAATTGTGCGTTTTATTGGTCTGACGTTCACCAATATGGATTCAGGTGCTTTAGTCTTCCGTTTGATTTTCTTGGCTTCAATATTTACAAAAAAAAAAAAAAAACACATCAGCAGGTCTTTATTATGTCTTTCTGCGGAAATTGCATGTTCTGACTGTGATGCAGTCGCAGCCGGTGCCGTGGCAAAATGATTTCTAACGTCCTTTGTCTCAGTTTTTCACTCGGTTTCTCCTTTTGTCTCCCCATCTGCCGTGAAGCCCAACTGCCTCCTCTGTGCGCAGAATAAGTTCAGATGTGCTTCTCTTAAAGCATTAACAATGTAAACTGCACAAAGTATACCTGACGACTAATTTCATCCAACAAAAAGTATCGAATGAGGAGGGTTTTTATCTTTTAAAATGTTGACACTTGACGCGCAGCATCGCAACAGAATGTTCTGGTGCAAATCCCTAAATTGTTGTCAAAAAAAAATATGACATTTAAAGATTAGTTAATTTCAAAAGAAATCAAGGAACAAGTGTGTGATCGCTGTGTTTTGGACTCACCTGCCGGACATTGGAGAGGTTTTGTTGTGCCGTGCGTGGCAGTAAGTGTCAGCAGGTGTAGATGACCTCGGTAACGATGCTCTCTCGTTTCGCCGCTATGAGTTACTCATCCGACTGATTCTTCCTCCGTACTGTGGTCGCACTGCTCTCCCACTCCCACTTATCCCCTTCACTGAGCGCACTGAAGCGTGGCGCATTGATGTAAACACGTGCGCGCTCACGGACACACACACACACGCGCGCGCGTACACACACTCACCATGAATTCAGAAGCTTGGCTGATCCTTAACGTGTCAGATTTACTGTCCTTTCAAGGAAGGAGAGAGAACTGGTGGCTGTTAATTCGGCAAAATAAAAAGGCAGATAATGAGATCTTTATTCAAATATGGTGTTTGTCTATTGTGGAAAAACACAAAGCAGCTGAATACTGGTAATAGTGGTGATACAGTATGCAAGGCAGTTTGAAACGGTTTCATTTCAAATTTCGATATACATCACTAAAACTGAAGCAGTAAATCCAGATTCCCTTAAACCATGAGCTGAGATTCCCACATCCTTCTGCAGCAGACCTCACAAAATAATTTGCCAGTTAGACAAAGATAATTATGTGTGAATGCCTTCATCATGTTATCTGTTGTGGTTTCAAAGAAAAGGACACTCCACACGTTGCTCTGTGCGCAGCAGGAATACTGCCTGTATTTAAAATGAGGCATCCAGGGACAGTCTTTATTCACATATCTGGAAACAATAACTGAGATTAACGAGTGGTGGGTTTTTTCACTGGCTTATGTGGGCAATGGGAAATTGTAAAATTGGCCACTTTTCCTTGATATGATGCAGGGTGGTCTGGGTTTGCCACCGGGCAAAATGCATAATTCATAAAGTAAATGTTTCTGTCTAATGAGCATTTAATGGATTATTCTGCATCAAAGCTCTGGACTGGATAAATGTCCTGCTGGTTATCGTGCCAACTTTGTGCAATGAGGAAGCTGGAACACATTTGGAGAAAGCTTTTCAACTTGACTGGTTAAAGTGCCACTGTGTTTTACAAGGAGAAAATATCCTGAATGCGAAATACCATTTCCTGGAATGTAACTGTTTGTTCACACTGCATTGTATCGTGATGGATGAAAATCACCAAAACGCTTTAGAAACCTTTCAGCATCACATCCTCTCGTGGGTCGATTTGCATTCTGGCACATAATGAGTCTGTCTTTGCAGAATAACTGTTTCTCACCTTAGGGCGAAATAACAAAGTGAACGTGTTTACAGAGGGGACGAATTAAAGACGAAGGAATGAAGAAAACATTATTTACAAGGCAGATAAAGGGAATTTATTGAGCAGGGATGATTTTATAAAAATGTATCCACAAGGCAAATGTTTTGGGTAAAACGACTTGACACATAATAAGTATTTCCTTGATGTTTCATTAGAGCAACAAACAAAAGAAAGAGTCAGATTTATTCAAACTGGATTTTTTCCAGATTCTCTAATAATCTAATGTTATTCAGGGGTTTTCCCTCCCAGGCGCTGCATATCTGCGCACTCCTTTTTTTTTTCTGGGTAAAATTGGAGTTTTGTATCTCTCCTCGGGTGTCGCTCCTCTCCTCCATCCTGCTCTGCTTCGCTTCAGTGTTTTTTTTTTCTTCTCAGGAGAAAGAGAGGACTTGGAGAGCCCGGCTTCAACTGAACAACACTCCTGTCTGCTGAATGCACCCAAACTAACAGCAGGACACGCCGACAAAAGACACTTTTATGAGACGCACAGTCGATTTAGATAAAGACTGTAGAGAGAAAATGTGAAGATCTTCGGTTGTCACAGTGTTGGAGAAGTCGGCAGTAAACCGGGAAAGATGGCGAGGACTCACACTCGCATGTTGCTCGCTTTGGCTCTGCTGGGAATTTTCTTCCTCGATGTGTCGGTGAAAGCAGAGCAACAGGAGGAGGAGGAGGAGAGATCCTGTCAGGGAGCTTTCGACCTCTATTTTGTCCTCGACAAGTGAGTGTCCGATATTATTTATGGCTTTGTTACTTTCTCCTCGCTGCACATTGCCATGCAACCGCCCAGTTGTTTGGAAACGCGGAGCGCATCAGCCAAATTCCCTCTCCACGTTTCTGTGGTCGTTACGACACAAAATACAAGTTAAAATACAAGTTTGAGATTGTAAATGTGTCAGACTTTATTATCTTGTGTTGTTTTGTACCGCAAAAGCAGGCCTTAAATAGGATATTGATTCGCTGTTTAACGGAATCTCAACACTGATAGCCTAACTATCGAACTTCAGCTCTCATTGTTGATCTTTTAGTCACATTTTGTGCAGGTTGAGTGCATTGTTTCTGAAGTGGGATGAATATTTTAGACAATGGGGATCTTGCTTTTCTTTCCTTCTCGTCCGGTTCAAAGTGGAGGGGCGAACAGGCTGAGCTTTACTCACGGGATGTGGGCAGGGCGAGCAGGATGGATAGAGTTTCAGGCTGATGACGCCTGCGGACACAGCTGCAGCAGCTGCCCCGCAGCGGTGCCGAGTGGCCTGCGCGGTGATCCCTTTCAACTGTAGAGCTGTTCCTCCCTGCATCTACTGGGAGCTCACTGCATCCTGAACCAGCCACAGAACGCGGAAGCAGAGTTGTAGGGTCCATACCTTTGTTGTTGTTTTAACCCTTTAGGGCATTATGATGTTTTTTAAGGAACAAAAACAAGTGACATGCACATTGGTACCAATATGTGAGGCATATGTTTAGAAGTTAAACAGATGACCACTTGGTTTGGTTATGCTTTATCTGTAAGCTAAGGCTCTTGTGTGTTTATAACAACATTTGGGATGTAAAGCTGTGAAAATCCCTTCCCTTCTAACTGTGCTGGCTTTTGCTTAAAACTGCCTTTCTAATTTGCCTGGATGACAATCGTTTCCTTCTGGAAAAGGCTGCTGAATGTATGGACCAAAAACATGAACTGTTCAAAGTATACGGACCATAACCTAGGATGTATGAAGGTGGTATCATAGCAACCTAAGGAATGTAAACTTTCTCCATGATGTTATCTATTTTCTTTGGAATTTCTGTCGTCATCAGATAGGATTAGGTAGAGGAATTCAAGGAATGAGCATGACAAACCAAAGTCCAATAAGAGAATCAGGGACTCTTCAATAACATCTACTAGAGATACAAATGTCCAGCGCTAGACTCCTTAATATCAATCTCAAGCCTTTTTCTCCCTCCTGAAAACGTTAAGAAAAGTTCAGGCTGCCCCTGAAATCTTCCTGAGTTGCCTGTTCACACATGCACCTCACAGCAGGAAATAACGGACATAGCAACAGAGTCAAACAGTTTTTGCCTTTATACAGTATCTATGCTACATGCTATTGAATTGTTGTTGACAGTGTAAACAAATGAGTGGAAGAGAACTTGCAAGCAGAAAGAGGAAGCAGCATCGTCATGTACACGACAATCTCATCCTTCGCTCACCCGTCGTGTGTAAACGTTATCATCCCCGCCCGCTTTCATGTGTTGAATTTTTCAGGAATATTTTCAGCCGTGTTCACTCATCAGCTCGCCGCGACTTCTCGTGGACATTTTCCTGGTGGGCTGGAAGATTTAAAAAAAAAATCCAAAATAATGTCAGGGTGAAAATTCAAAACAACATGCAGCTCATTTAGAAAAAAAATAAGAAACTTTCAGCAGTTTTTTGAGTGAAAACACCTTCAACCCCAGATCAGTGTTTGAGTAGAAATCCAAGAGGAGAGCCCCAACAAACCAGACTTAAAATCTCATAACTGTAACATTTTTTAGCCTGTTTGTTTTTACCACCTTTTTCTGGGCTTACTGCTCCAGTAAGTACCTCTGTGTGATCTCACTGCAGCCTCAGAGCTGCCGAGTTGTTTTTCATCGCAGCCCAGACATTATAATTGACATTTTTTGTCATAATTTTGGGCTCCAGTTGCAAGGTGAAGTTCAAGCTTGTGGACACAGAACAATCAGACATGTCAAAACATGCTAAGTGAGCAGATGGAGACACAGAGAGAAAAAAAAAAAAAAAAAACATCAGGTGGAATTGCTTGCCCTATTTTTGTTGAAGATAAGTGGTTTTAACTCCAGAAGAATGGATTTTGTTTTGCAGTCAATGAGGGATTCTGCAGCATGTGGTCATTTGGAGGGTAACTTGTTGATCTCTGTGGTACCTGTTTTAACATTTTGGTTAGGTAATGGCTAAAAAACAAATACTTCCTGTATGACCTCAGCCAGCCTATTTTCTCCACCTACAAGGCTGCTGGATGTTGAGTGACATTTTGCTCTGGTTTTTTTGACGCATTGGATGATCTTTCCGATGTCCACGGCAGCATCTGCCAGCCGTCTCGACTGTCTTTACCCTTTGATTCAAAAAGTTTAGGAGGAGCCCGAGGAGCGCGGCGCATCACGCATGGCCAGGCATGTGGTACGCCTCCGTTTGTTTCTCCTGTCTGATCCAACATGTATCAGCAAGCCTTCAAGAAGCCTCTGCTCTTTTTACCCCCCCAAGATGGCATCGACGATTATTTGTTTTTCAGATCTTTAATGCCACAAGAACGGGGCATTCTGATTGTTCTTAACTCCTCAATGTTTGTTTTAGCTTCAAATTTTTGGCTTCACTGTCCAGACAGTTCAGAGACACGCTGAGTAGAGAATGTGTGTGCGCTTCACTGGACATTAGAAAGACTAAAAACACCATGAGCTCCCCGCATCACTACACTCTGTCTGACCCCACCAAATACCAGGATGCATATTTCCTAACCAAGCGGTGTCCCACAAATAGAATACTAAGAGTTGTGTTTTGGTTTGTTTTCATTGGTCCCAAAACTTGAAGATGAAAGGAGACGCTACTCTAATATTATGAAACCTGAGAGGGTAAAAATGTGTGGAGTGGAGGGGATGAATGATGGCAGTGATTTAGCTCTATATAGCTTTCTGCTTCAATTTATTGTGCAAGCCCGACTACAACAGGACTTTGAAAATGATTTAAATATGTTAGTCCCAGTCAAAGTCACATTTCTGCAGTTGCAGGTCGATACTCTTGAATGTTTACACCTTAATAAATCAAATCATAACCTTCTGAATTTAAATTTTAAACATTGGAATATATTCTCTGATAATGAAAAGGTCTTAATTATGCAGTATTTAAAAGCAGTTCAATTCACTCAAACAGTATATGGGGGGGGGTGTCTTTATTTTAAATAATCTCAAATTTACTTTCAAAATAGTATAATTTTTTTAATTAATAAAATCAAAGTAGAAGGAAACTCTGGTGCTTCAGCCTCTCCACAAATGGACGACAGATCCAGACCGGATCCAAAGAAAAGTTTGACTGAGGAAGAAGCAGTGCGTCCAATGTTAGTCCTTTGCAGCCTTCAGTGATTTGTGTGCTCCAGTATTTTCTCTTGATCTCGTCTGAAAGGAGGAATCCTGTTACGGATCGAGAAAACTAAGAGGAGGATACAGATGCAGAATCAACAAAAACTATTTATTCTTCAAAAAGACAAACAAAAACTTACGTCCAAAATCCAAACAGGAGAAAACAAGGCGCCACGGGTAAACTGACATACGACAACCGACAAACACATACAATGAACTGACACCGAAGGGAAGAAACACAGAGACTAAATAGACACAGGGGTAATCAAACACAGGTGAGACTAATGACACAGGTGAAGACAATGAGGGAAATCACAATGGAGGGAAACACACAGAGGAAGGAATGAACACAAGACAAGAAACACTGAGGATGACTACAAAATAAATACATGAAACACTGAAGACACACAGAACTCAAGAATGAAACAAAACACATGAGAACATAAAGAAACACTAAACACTGAGAAACAAAACAAAAAAAGACCAAATCATGACAAATCCACTGAATTACATTTTGAGTTTTGCTCTAACTCTGCTCTCTATGTTAAAGTATTAGAAGTTAAATATTAAACACAAATTATGTAACAGATCGGTTAATGTGCACAAATGTTTTTGCACACTGGAATGAAACTGAGCCCTTGTTGTGGTTGTGTCAGTTTATGTTTAGACTCTGCAGATTTAGATAATATGAAGTAACAGAGAAGTTGTTCCAAGAGGAGATTATTCCATGATTAGAGAGTTCATCGTTTTCTAACTTCTAGAGAAACGGATAAGTGGAACAGGAATTGATGGGTGAAATAAGAGGTACAAAGGAGGCATCATGAATTTAACCAGGTCGGACTTTCACTCTGTTTATGACCCTGTTACACACACACATGTACACACGCGCACACACACGCCCTCTGCTGTAGAAGCTGTTTGATGTTGCATCCTTAACTAGACCCTCACACTCACATTTACCCCCTGCTGAGTGTTACTACTTTGTCCTGCTGTTGTTCATGTCCCAGCCTTTTCACTCTGTGGACCCCCAACCTGTTGTAAGACTGGCTCGGCTCACTGAGACCATCTGTTCCCCCTCACAGGTCCCACACACACACACACACACACACACACACACACACTCACATACATGTACACTCATATAAACACAGACACACAGATACACACAGGCCAGCTGCCTGCGACATGGTCCCTGCTAGAGGCAGACTGCTACATCTGTCCCTGTCTAACCTCAACCCCTCTGGCCCAGCAGCAATTAGCCCCCATTAGCACCCCCCTGGGACTGGGCTTCATTAAGGAGACTGTCATGGCTGCAGCAGCATGTAGCAGGCTAACCAGCAGCTCTCTCCGCTGACAGGTCACTGTCTCTAAAGTCATGGATTGTGACTGATCGATCACAGGAATGTCCTCGAACATGGACGAGATAAACTCTTACTGTTGGTCTGGAAACATGACCATAAAATCCAGTCTGTGTACAAGAATCCTAAAATGCTTTCTTTAGATTTGAGCTCTATAAGCACCAGAGAAAGTACAGACACACCCTTTTCTCAAAGAGATGTACAGAAAAAGGTAGGAGTACTGATTCAACTTCTTTACTGAAGTAAAGGTAAAAAGTTCAGGCTCTGAAATACACTTACAGTATCAAAGCAGCTCTCTGAAGGATGATTGATCTTGGTCTGAATCAAGTTTGTCAGCAGTGTTTGCAGTGTTAGGTTGTCTTTTGTCCCGCTACAACTGTTATGATATTTGCAATGCTTGATGTACCTAAAGAATCATATTTTCTATTGGTTATTTTCCAATTCATTTATGTCATTCTACCCACTCAGGAAGATTTCTGTGGCAATACGCCTGAAATTTTATGCAAATTTCCAGGAGTGCATATGTGAAAAGTGCTTGAGAGTAACCTGTTTGGAACATGTTATAAAATGCCAAAAGTCTGGTGGTTTTCCATCCAAGAGGCTTGTTGTAAAGAACGAAAAAACAACCAAAAGTTGAGTCCATGTTTGAAGTGGATAAATAGTTAGGGGTCTTCAAAATCAGAAGGCTCAATCCCAAAGGGACATTCATCCTCCGTACAAAAAAATATTTCAATTCATCTGAAGGTTGTTGAGCAATTCTGCCATGGACCAAAATATTGGACCGACCAGTGTTCAGCTCAAGCACAAAGTGTAATAACTGCCATAGCACACATTTGGCTTTAATTTTAGCCTATCATGCAAAACGTTTCTATTTTTGTGTGATTAATCCCTGAGACAGCTGGCTCCTAACTAGAAAATCCTGCATTTAATAAAATCAAACGATATTGGCTTGCAGCAGAGGATAATTAGTCATCTGTGGGAACATCATATTTTATCCTTACAAGGTTGTGTTTATGTTGTTTTGTTAGGTCTGGAAGTGTGAAACATCACTGGATAGAGATTTACTCCTTCGTCGAGCAGCTGGCAGAGAAGTTTATCAGGTAAAAACAGGATTAGTCATTCAAGACATCAGATGTTTTCTGTTTTCGTCCATGTTAATGTTACAAAACAACTGTGTGTTTGCAGCCCCATGCTGCGGATGTCCTTCATTGTCTTCTCCACACGAGGAAACATCATCATGAAACTGACTGAGAACAGGTAAGACCAACACATGAAAAACATCATAACTGTCCCTTCTTCTTCATTCTGCATCTTCATCTTCCCGTGAAATTTAACATCAATAGTCTGTAAAGTTTCCTCATTTGTGTTTATCTTTGGGTTTCCAAACTTCTGGGAACTCAGATTTTCTGACCAGATTTTCTTGCAGCTTAAAATTGAATTTAACACAAATTAAATCCAGCTTCAAGCAACCAAAGAATACAAAACAGTTCATTCAGTCTCCTGGGGATGACTTTGGCTGAGGATTGGCTTGAATACTTCTTGAGCCACACAGTTACTTGCCAACTCAAACCCCTCTGTACCTCTCTTTATCTACTTTGTTAGGCAATGGGAATATTCCCCAATGTATTTCCCTGAAATCAGATTTCTTCCAGCGTATTTGATCAGCTTTTGTGTGTTTATCCTACAGGGAGTCCATCGATGGAGGCCTACAGGCTCTAAGGAGGGTTGTACCTGGAGGAGACACGTTAATGAATTTGGGCCTGGAGATGGTGAGAGGCTGAGGATTGAACACATTTGTAAAGCCAGCCAACAGCACACTAGTTCAGCCTTCACTTTACAAGTTTATTTCAAATATTCTCTGAGGATAGAGTGGACTTGGCAGCTAGAAGGAGGGCTCATTAGTGGGGCTAGAGGAGTATCTCAGATCATGTTTTTTTCTGATTCCTAAAACTGCTGAGTTTTGTGAACGGATGTAACGAGGCATTGTGAAATCAAACCACACTGCCATGAGGTCTGTTCTCATTTTATATTCAATCTGAAACATGTTCTGGTGGTAAAAATGTGACATTTCGAGATGATTTCTAAATTAAAAAATGTCACACAAAGACCAGTGACATGCTCAAAGTCCTCGTAAATTGAGGGTTGTGGCCTACTGTCAGAAATAATTACAACATGTTTTAACCCAATGCAGTCTATAAATGTATAAATATGCACGGTTTTCCTTTAATTTAACAGAATTGGTTCAGAATCTTGACTTAAACCATGTTTTGTAATTGCAGGCTAATGCGCAGATATTCCAAGAGAAGCAAGGTAAGCTAAGCTGTGTGTTGTTAGTTAATCACAAATGTGTTGTCAGCTGTTCCAGAGAAATGAAAGTTTTGTGTTCTACAGGGACAGCAAGTGTTATTATCGCTCTGACTGATGGAGAACTGAATGAGTGGCAGTTTGACACCGCTCAGCGAGAGGTAAGTACGATGTGAAACTATCTGATTTAAATCACTTGTAAACATTGACATGAGGATGGGTGTGTCAGTATTTCAAATCAATGGGTGACCGTGCTAAATGGTGAATTGGTCAGTGGATATTGTGGTTTTAATAGCTGTTCAAAACAGTAGAAAATACTAATGTCCTTTTGAATGCCTCTTACTAACAAGTACTGCTTGAGAGAAAATGACTTTTTCTTTTAGTCTTAGTCCAATAAAAGTTCTAATTACAACTCTTCATTTTTGGAGTCTCCTGAGTCTGTTATGTTTCACATAAAAAAAGATCTGCCATTTTTCATATAAACAAAAATAACCACATAAGCAAATTACAGGATTCAAATTCATACTTTTGAGGGACATGAACTCAAGTCAAGAGCTTCAACCAGTACACCATTGTCATTACAATGATTAATTCTAAATAAGCATATCATTTACTTATGAAGTACAAAGCTAACCTTCTTTCTTGACAATGAGAGGCATCCAGTTCAACTTGTGACCACACAGTTTATGTGCTTTGGACCATTTTTTTTAAAGTTTTGTTTCCAACACAAATAAATCTTAAAAAACAGTTAATTCCATTTAATTGTAGTGCTACTGAACAACTTTTCTATGTGGTTTGTTGACATAATGACGCTAGAATTTAGGTTTTTCCACCAAAGGAACCGGAGACATCATCAAACTATTGATTACATTTAGGACAGTCCCATCAAATTTGTCTGTAGCCACAATTTGTAAACAATGACTCAAGTGGAATATAAGGCAAGCCTTCTTTAATTTGGGAACACACAAAGTGGAAAAGAGGCAGATCAAATGACTCGGGCAACACATGGTCCATGTACAGATAGGCTATAGGCTACAAAATCTTGTGAATCGGAAGTGAAATATGGCAGCAGGTAAAGATAAAAGATTAAGATGGGGGAAATTCAGCTAGTCGAGAATTTGTTCTTCATAACAACAACATTTAAAGTAATCTTTTCTGACACAATGTTTGTGTTTTATTTCTACCTTTTGGCAGGCACAAAGGGCCAGGTCAATGGGAGCCATTGTTTATTGTGTAGGGGTCAAAGAATTCAACCAGACCCAGGTAGGATCCACACAAGGATATTAAAGATGATTCAAAGTTGATGCGAAAAACATGAAGAAAATGTCTTTCTTTCTGTTTCTATACTTTTCTAGCTTGCAACTATTGCAGATACCATGGAGCATGTGTTTCCTGTATGGGGAGGCTTCCAAGCCCTCAGGGGAATCATTGACTCGGTATGACACATATACCATATGTGACCACTCATCCAAACACAGAGAAACATAGAAATCTTGTGTTATTACATTGACTTGTTGTGTATATTTCATTTTTTTCTCTCAGATTATCAAGAAGTCCTGC